TTGAATTTCCATTATAATAATAATAGATCATTTTATTTCCGATATAACCATCAGATGACATTCGTTATGTTAAATACATGCAACATGATATGCTGTTTAAAACTTTACAATACGGTTTGTTATACATTAGTTAATGTAATAACTAATACAGTATTTATTAATCTTTGTTAATGCTATAGTTAATAAAAATACAGCTGTTCATTGTCTGTTCATGTAACTTCACAATGCATTAAACTAAATGTTAACAAATACAGCATTTGATTTTAATAAAGTATTAGTACATGCAATTAATATACGATTAATAAATGCTAAAGAAGTATTGTTCATTAGTATTTCATGTTAACTAAAGTAGTTAACAAATGTATCTTATTGTAAAGTGTAACCTAAGATTCACTGTTGCATAATGCATTCACATTGTATGCAGTATTTCCTGAAAGGTATTCAGTAACTAGTGGGTTAGCATTTCATTTCATTTCATTTCATTTCATTTCATTTCATTTCGAGGCAATGAATGTACCTATCAGTATTATTTGTACATGGTACAGCAAATATTATTCAAACATTATGCAAATCTGCATGAATTGGTTAGTTCTGCATGAGCCGAGTGCATCGGGAAATATCTGTAGAGCTTTAAAAAAAAAAAAGACAGTATGAATTCACACGGCAACAAAACTAAAGTTGCATGACAAGGTTTATGAAATGCTGCCTATTCCTCGGAAGACTTGAAATATAGAGCATGTGTTTTATTGACGACTTTTATGATGCGTTTTTGCCAATTTTGTCATTCATTTTTATTTTATGAAGAAGAGCAGCCAGGATATTCTTCAAAAATGTACCTTTTGTGTTCAGAAAAAATAAAGTTGTACGAGTTTGAAACAGCTTAAGGGCGAGTAAATAGGGTGAGCGTTCTCCAACTGCTGCTAATGATATTTATTGTATTATGCGATTAGCTTTTGGCTACTATGTTTGTTGTGGGGGAAGAGAATCAAATGTAGATTACAAATTAGGTCATAAAATATGACATCAATAACCTTGAGAGAGACTGCAGCATTCCACCCCCCCTCCCCTCTGCCTTTTAATTATATAGGTCAGTGGCACTGATCAATCTGGCCCATGCTTATTTATTTAATCCTTCTCTTCCCAGAGAGAGAGAGATCTTTGTTCTCTCTCGGATGCCCTTCAAAGGATGGGGAAGTGCTTAACAGAAATCTTGTAAGAACTTATCATTTACCCTGAGTAGGGAGGAAGGAAAAGATAGACACACACAAACACACACACGGTCAAGGAATGTTCAGCTTGTTTTGCAGGAGTGAGGTCACTCATAAAAAAAATAGAAAAAAAAATCCTGACAAATTTATTCCCATCTGTGGCAGGGCTGCACTTGGCATCGGCCCTGCAAAAGGACTCCCGTGAAAATCCACTTGAGCTGGGCTCCAATGAGCAGAGCTTGTAGCCGAACAATAGGTAGCTCGTCCCGAGGCCCGAAACAGGAGACGAGCTGGTGAAGCGGCCGCGGATAATGCCGTGCGTCACCGCGGATTGAACGGCCTTTCACTAGCAAACGCCATACAGAATGGCTTCATTTGCTGGGCAAATTAATTGAATTAATTACTCTTGGTAGCAGCTGCACAAGTAGACACATCAGCACATCCCTGACTGTTTGATCAAGGTTATAACATCGAATTTTGGCAGCCTATTATTCACTGAACAGATACATTATTGGTGGCTATTGACTCAGCACTAAGTTTGAAGGTGGAACGCTGCCAGGAACACAATCCCTGCCAACTCCACCTGCCCGGGCCCCACTAAAGCCCTCGATGAGCCAGACGGAAGAAAGAGACATGTCACACAAACCTTAAAGGTCAAACTGGATAGCTCTCAGAGCAAATACAATAACTCTTGCCTCCGGACCTTTAAGAAGAAGCACAAATCCATGCCAAACAGTAGCTCACAAACACAAGCATGACCACTGTCTTATATCACCATACGAGTAATGTTTTATCTGTTTAATTGTATTTATTTATAGTAATAATCATACTGATTTCATTGTGTATAGAAAATATATAGGAGTGCAGTTGTGTTTTAAAAGCCAGACCGATTTATCGGCAGGCCGATATTATCGGCCGATATTAGGCATTTTCCAAACTATCGGTATCTCCAGTTATAATGGCCGATAAATGAATCTTACAAAAGTAAAATAAAAATGGGAAAAACGCGCTTCAACCATGTCATGAGTAAATCCATGTCATGAGATAAAAAAAATATCAGCCGATATATTGGAATATCGGATTTTAAAACCAACAAATATTTGTATCGGTATCGGCCTTCAAAACCTTTATCGCTCAGGCTCTAATGAGAACGCAAACTCCTCAGATTTTAAAACATATTTATATATCAAATATTTATGCCCCTGTTACATTTAATGTTGTCACTTTTTTCTGATTAAATAAAAATTACATGAAGAGAGACAAGATACAATTATATTTTTATATCTATTTAATACCAAGTATACATCTCATCAAGTTAGTGTTTTTATGCATTTTAACTAGGGCTGTGCAAATATTAATTGCGATTAATCGCATCCAAAATAAAAGTCTGTGTTTACATAATATATTTGTGTGTGCTGTATATAATTATTTTGTATATATAAATACCTATGCATGCATGTATATATTTAAGAGTTAATTGCGCTTAAATTCTAAATATATATATATATATAAATACATAATCTATATTATATAAATATAAATATTTTATATATGAATAACACATTTTCTTAAATATATACATGCATGTGTTTGTATTTATATATATACAAAATAATTATATACAGCACACACAAATATATTATGTAAACACAGACTTTTATTTTGGATGCGATTAATCGCAATTAATTTTTGCACAAGCCTTAATTTTAACATTTAATAAAACAATCAAAACAATAACTTAAGGCAGTAACAATTTTATGCCTTGCCTTTGGAAAGCACCACTAACAATATATTTTATTTGTGAACTGATCTCAGTAAACACTGTTCACAGACATGAAGATGTACCTTTAATTTCCCCAAGCTGAATGCTCACTAAACAGTCATCATGTGTTCAGGCCACTTCAAGTTTGATTTTGACGTGACACAAAGCAGTGATATCTAAGTGGGTGAGTCGTTTATTTTTAACTAGTCTTCCCATTTAGCCATCATTTTCTTCATTCAGACCAATTCGCGAACATGCATGAAAACAACGAACCAATCATATCCAATCAAAAACGATCATATCCAATCATAGCACGATGGATTCATTGCCTCCTCTCATGTGACTTTCCCCCATTCATTCTTAATTACTCCCCATCAAACCCAGTGCATGCGTCTGTTAAAAGTCAATGGGCTCAGGGGAGGCAAGAGAGACGCAGACTCCCGCTGTAAATGTACCTGCCTATAAAATATTAGCTTGTTTCATGTTTGTAATATCAATAATTTTCCTCGGAGGAAACGCCCCTGATTTTATATATGTATTTATGTACTGTATATACATTACTCCATGTTTCTTTGTCGCTCCATGAGTAAATTAAAAGTAGCAGTCCTTTTTTTCCCGTTGCTCACTCAGTACACCCGTAAATGAACTCAATTATAAAGACACTGCAAACATTCATTGGTTTGGTGTAGTGATATACCAATATTCCAGCAACCGAAAATATTTGACCTGGATTTCTATGGTTTGTTTCAGAGGGCCAAAATCATTGAAACGGTTATGTTTAAAGGTAGGGTATGTGTTTTTATTTTTTCAAAATCACTTGAAATCCTATTCCTAACCCACTTACACCCACTTTAGAGTTAGAAGCACTGAAATCAAAATTAAGCAATTTAATCATCTGAGGAAAGGGCAGGACTCGAAAAACTCCAGCCAATCATTTCCAAGACAACCTAGAATCATTGGACAGAAAATACTTCAATCAAACAGTCATACCATACACCCCTCCCCCTCACGTGCATGTCCCATTCGCCCCGGTACAGATTTTGACCCTGCCAGTCTCTATTTAGTGCACACAGCGTAGTTAAGCTACAACAGGAACACATGTCACCATAGGTCTGGGCTGATTTCTTCACTGTAAAAAATATTTTCAAGATTTGTTATCACAACATATTTTCTTTTGTCAAATCAACTTTATAATAATTTATTTATTTGAGATAACTTATTATTTTGAGTTTCTGATGGTTAAATTAATCTACTTCATTGTGTTAACTCACTTTTTCCAGTTCAATGAACTCAAAATTTTAAGGCAACCAGGTTACTTACTTTTTTAAGTTAAACTATCAATATTTTTTTTGTTCAATCCTCATTTTGATGAACCAAGAGTCTATGCTGTTTTCAAAATACTGAACATTATTTGTAGCATGCTTAGCCACCAACCATCCAATAATCACAATAAACTTTGTTAGTTTTCATATGAAAAAATATATATAAACTGCATTATGTGCAGCATTAAACTGCATTAAATCTTTCGGCTAAAACTTTAATTTCGGTTTCAATGTTTCAGTAAAAAAAAAAATATTTCAGTGCATCACTAGTTTTGTGTATTGTACCACAAAAAAAAAAACAAAAAGTTAAGTAGGAATAAATGATTAAGCTTATAAAAATGATAATTTGGGTGTTCCAAAACTGCTGAGCCAATTCTGCTGGCGCAGCTTTCATGTAGGGTTGCTAATAATATGGGGTGTAAATAATAAAATCAGCAGTGTCAGTGCATGTTTTTTTAATGGGCACATCTAATCATGCATGAGCATACTAAAGAGCAGACCCACACAGAATTTCACAGAATAGTCTGCAGATTTCCGCAGAATTGCCACACATGCCTCCCTCATGCCTCCCTCATTCTTTCAGCTACCAATAGAACTTTAATACTCTCAGCATCGTTTAACACATATTATCATATTTAAATCAATTCCACCAAAATGGGCACAGAAAATGCATTCTGAGCCGGCTAATGAGAAAATGAGAAGACATACCTCTCGTAGTGTCTTCGTGTGCACGTGGCGGCGCTAGTGCTTCCCGGGTTGCCGCCCAGTTCATCATATACATTTTTCCACTGGCGTCGCGCTGTTATCTGCAATAGAGAGGGGGAGTCCATTATGAGAGACAAAGACGTTCATGTAATGGATGTGTGCATGGAGCAGAAATGAAATAAATACAGACATTAGCATTCCACTATTCATGCATTCAACATGTATGCTGGGCTTTCTTTATTGTTGAGTGATGAATATAAGAAGGCCACTAGATGCATATTAATCAGATCCCTTAAGCTTTACATTATAAATGACACTGAGCGCATGATGTCCCATGCAAGGTCATTAGATATTGAGTTTTTCAAATGAAACTGATGTATGTGCACTCTTAACTAAAGAGAAAAAAAACGAAAACACAGTCCAGATTAACATAATTCAAATACACAGCGATTAATATTCATGAGAGACCTTTAGTGCATTCAGTGTACGAGGGTTAAAAGATTTTTAATGGCCGTTTCCCTCAGCTAATGGCTGACTCTCTCAATAAAATGCATTCCGTGGAAAACCACATGCATCAAGTGCTGGGGAATTAATGCATGTGTAATTTAGTCGCCCGGGCCAATATATTCACCGCAGACTTGCAACACAAATAAGAGCAATATTCTCAGAGTGTTCCACAATACAGTGTGACCCAATGTCCACAGAGACCTAATCACTTCAATCCATTCGATTAAAGAAACACTTCAACCGTAATATCGTTGACCATGAGCTGTATTTTCCTTCAGTAACTTGACTCACTGAATAGGGCATCTGCTGTCTCCTACGGCTTTCAATGAAGCGCTTGCATTTTTGACAGCATGAGAACAGAATCGCCCCTATGGCCTCTGCTGCCTTCTCTAAACTCCCTAAGTCATAATAGCCCTTGACTGCTGTTTGTTTTCACATCGCCATTGTGTACGAGGCAGGTTTCGGGTCTGGAGTACAGTTGCGGTATTAAAACTGTATTAAAGTACAGTTAAACCCCAGGAGAACATCTTTTTGAGCAATATAAATGTTTCCAGTGACATCATGACGACTCCTGCACAATGATTTTTATTACAGATGTCAGTTGCATTTAAAGCCAAGCATTCTGTGGCAAAGAGAATCCAGGCAGCCAAAGGACAAAAAAAAAAGTGATCGCTTAAAAAAAAAAGAAAAAGCGGGAAGCCGTATCAATACATCGGATAAAAAGAGCAAAGGAGCGAGAAATGGCTTCCTGTTTGCTTTAATCTATATAACTTCAGAGTTAATGAATGAGTACAAAGCAGCTGAAAATATTGAATAGCTGGTCACATAGAAGAGACTTTAATGTTTTCAACATATTTTAGCAGAGCAGATGTCAGATAAGCTGCCAAGCGAATTCCCTTTATTGTGCAGTTCGCTTGTTGCACAATAATGGTCCCTTAAGAGCCTCAACATGGGTAGTGAACAGGCCCCAACCAATTTCCTCCACCGCAAAAGGGTTACAAGTGTTTTCCACTTGTAGATTTTATAACAACTGCGAGCGCTCTGGCCAAATTTGGATGTGAGAGAGTTCCGCATCCAGGCCAGAGTCTAGTAAACACACATTACATGGCAGGCTGGAAAAAAAACTAAACTCTTTTAGGAATCTTTCAGAGCCAAAGGAAAAAGCGTGCTGCCAAAGGCACTGGATTTCAAACAAATTGTGTAAACACTCACCACCTCGTATCCTCCCAGTTTCTGAGCCGCTTGAAACATAGTCCAAAGGTTTACTGTAAGAAGGATAACAAGGATGACGATTAGTTCCACAGAAGAGCAGAAGGAAATGTTCGTTAAGGCCGTATTCAGAATGGCATACTACTATACTGTGTACAGTGCGCATGGTAAGAGCATTTTCCCATACACGATACACCCGGATGTTCAACTATATGCAGAAGTGTGCAGTATTCAGTATGCACTGATGTATGCAGTAAACTTTGCAACTTGGCGTTCCATTTCCAGTGTGGCCGTTGGACTGGATGTAATTACACATCCCATTTGACTCATTATTTGATCAGACTGCCCAAAATTTTTGCACTAAATTTAATTAAAAAGGGCAAAATATTGTTTCATTTTGTAGATAATAATTGGATGCCACTCACAGGCAAAAATATTGAGGTCATGTGGTGTCTATGTAACATTACTGTATAATAGGCAGTTCAAGTCAAGTCAATTTTATTTATATAATGCTGTTCACAATACACAGTTTCAAAGCAGCTTTACAGAAAATCCTGATGTTAATGTTTGTAATATCTTAATGCCTTATAAAGTCTCATTTAGCCGATTAGAGCTGGGCAATAACAATGGTATGAAAAAATTAAACATTTGAGATTTGATATATAGTAATTCGCTATATAGCTACATGTAAAAATTGTATGAAGTATATAAAATAATGCCTACTTTTTAAATAATAGTAGACTGCATATGCAGTATGAAGTACACTATCATTCCATTCTGAACACAGCCATTTTAACAACCTCTTCAAATCAATCGAATATCAAAAAAAAAAACTCGAAATGCTTGTCTACAATCCATTCCCTGTCATTTAATTTTCGTCACATGAATGTTAATGTTAGGCAGGGGCCCTCTTAGAGAGTGAGCGAGAATGAAAACTAAATAAATTTGTGTCAGTTTAATGAAGCAGAGCTGTGCCACATTTATGAATAAGGCACAGCAGAAATTAATGAGAGACTTTGCTGCTGGCCGACTAATCAATCAAGATTCAATCGCCCGCAAACACAAAGCCACGGCATTCGTCAGAGTGAGAGCGCTGTTTTTCTGTCCTTATATCGGGTCATATTGATTTTTGCCTCCTCCCAATAGCTACTTCTGATGGACTGTCGTGTAACGGGGAGAGTTGTTTTTAAGTCAGCAGTATGACATTAAACTTACAGCCGAGAGCTGCTCTCTGGCACTTTGATACATCAGCAGAAGTACAAATTCTGCTGGGAATTTATTAATTTTTTTGGTAAAAAAAGAGCTTGTCACTGATGCGGTTCCTCTTAAAGGGACAACTTTGTATCGTTTATACCCCTAAATTTCAAATATTAGTATCTTCAAACCATTAAAGTTTATTTTCTTGGCTTGTCCCCACTGGCATTTCCTTTCTTTATGCGATTTTTGTCTTTGTTATGTCTCTCTATATAGGTTTAGATTTTACACAGTTATACAGTAACCCTGTTACCATATAGTATATATATATTTTTTTTTTTTCTGTAGAGCTGTCAACCCTGTTAAACTCAACTTTTGTTACCTTTCTGAATGCATATTTATCTCCCCAAAATGAAAATTCGCTCATTTAATCATCCTCATGTCATTCCAAACCAAATGATGTTCGTTCATCTTTACATAAATGAGTCTATTTTTAATGGAACCTGAGAGACTTCTCTACATCAAGGACTTGCACACATCAAAATTTTCATAAAGAGATTATAAAATAACTGCATATGAATCAAGCAGTTTGAAGTCTAATAAAACGATTGTGTCTCTTGGACAATTTAGGCTGTTATTCATATAAGCATTGATCCACACATACATGAGCTCATCAAATATGGTATGCGGATAAGCTTAAAAGTGTTTGCTTGATGTGCGAAAACCAATTAATTTGTTCTTACATTTCATGCGCTCTGTGTCTGTGTGTTGATCAGTGTTTATTAATGACAGATTTAACAGAAGAATAAGAGAAGTTTTTGGGGTGAACTATTCCTTTAATTCAGTTTCAGATGACACATTTATTAACACTTCAACACATTGTTTGTCAGATAGAATGTTTAATTTGTCTCATGCGCTTTTAAGCCAGAAAATTGATGCCTGATTCACTGCTTTCATAGAAGTATAAATCACCCTCCACAAAAAGTATGTGTCACAATATAGGAGGGTAAAAAAAGGTTTATAGCCTAATGACAAGCATCTGTAGTGTGAGTAAGAACATGGCAGAGTACGTCTCTTCTGCTCTCCGGCTTACGCAGAGACTCCTACACTCGTGTGCATCTTAGAAGATCCTTCTATATAAAACTCAAATAATAGGCTTTTTAACATAATAAGGTGCCTTGCTGGCACCAAGATAATTGAAATGAAACCCCACAAATAGCACTTTTACCTGCTTGAAGTTATTTCCAATGGAGATTGTTGTTAGCATATTGTCGCTAAGCTAATGATGCAACACTCAAGCAGAGATAATACATAATACATCAGCCTGAGCTATTTTAATTCATATTTGCAGTATTCATTGTTAGACATGATATTTCTCTTGACTCTATCTGCTACCTTAAATATTTTTTATACTTTTTCATTGAATGTGTGCAATGCATTCTGGGATTGCCTATTTTAGAAGTCAGGATAATTGAGTGTTTTAGGCAGCTGACTGGGTTTTGGAACAGAGCTATTATTTAGTGATATGCGTAGTCATGAATTTATCAAGATTCAGGCCGGATGTGGTATGAAATGTAATGTTTTTGACTGACAACAGTGTTGAAAGTAAAGGGGAAAGATTATGAATAATAACATCTCTGCTGTCTGCATTTAAACAGTACAGATTGCTTGCATATTTTATTCGAGTTGAGCGTTAAGCTACTTGTTTATTCACACTGTGTACTGCAGGTCAGAGCTGGATGTGTTACATTAAAGCGATCCGCAGAGCTGCTTGGAAATAATTGTATATGTTTTTTTTTTTAAGTTGTGTTGACCTACTTTGCAACTTAGAAATATAAATTACACAGTTTTTTCTGTTTTGGGCCACTGCGAACACTGCAGGGTGTTTTGTGTGAACTGGAAGGACACATAATCTCAAAGACATTTTCTCACACCCTAAAGTCTTTCCAAACCGTATTATTTTTTTCCTCTTTGACACAAAATCAGCATTATAAACAGCTAATGCCATCGGTTGTCACATCCCACGTGACTGCAAATGAGATCTGAAAGCTTCGGTAAACAGCTTGACTGTATAAATCATCATCCATCTTGTATCCAAAATCAAAAGTTCAGACATTCTACCCAAGATATCCTTTTGTGTTTCATGAAAGAAAGAAGATCAGGTTTGGAATGACCCTTATGAGGGTAAGAATGAGCTTTTTTATTTGTTTTGGATACTTCCAGTATTCTTGACTATTTGAAATAGCATCAATTTCCCCTTGAACAAGTGACCGTAAATGGTACACACATTTTTTTTTTTTTTTCAATTTGGCTCTGAGGTTGATGATAAAACTGGCACTTGAGATCTTGAGAGCTCTGGTTAAGAATCGGTAGGCTACTCACTCTGTTTGAAGCCCAGGTACGGTATCCTCTCAATGGGAGTTTTCCTCTCTTTCATGTACTTATACAGCGCCACCAGGAAGGCCTGCTCATCTGTCCGGCACTCCTCACCTCCTTCAACCTTCGGCTTGTCCTCGGATGGCACTTTTTTCCAACTGCTGCCACTGTTGTTTCTGGGCTTAGGCAGTCCTGATTTTGTGTCCACCTTCATCTAAACGTCACATAGCAAAAATAAATAGTTAAGAATATTGAAAAGCAAGCTTGGTCTGTACATTTTAATGTACATCAGTGGCTCTCAGAGTTTTATTAGTGATTGAATCAGTGATTTAAAATAATTATTTTTTCATAGAATAATAATTTTCTTAATCAGTATAAGGCTACTGTCTTGTTTTGTCCAGTGACATTATTAAAACATTCTTAAAACAGGATAAGTTGACATCACTTACTTAATGTTTTTGCTTTTGCTAACACCACTAATTATTGTTAGATTTATGGTTAACAATTTGCCACTGGGGTCAAAATGAATTAACTTAATTCAAGACTGTATTTAATTGATCAAAAATACAGTAAAACAGTAATTTTATTACACACACACATTATATATATATATATATATATATATATGAAGAGTTCAGATGCAAAAGCCTCTAAATGCCATTAGAAATTTTCTTCTAAAATGACCATTTTTATCAAGCTTGTATATTTAAGTTCAGTAATTTCACTTAAATGACAATTAATAGGTAATCTTCATTGCCATTTAAGTGAAATTACTGAACTTAAACATACAAGCTTGATAAAAATTATCATTTTAGAAGAAAATTTCAAATGGCACTTAGAGGTTTTTGCATCTGAACTCTTTATATACTGTGTATATATATATATATATATATATATATATATACAGTATATATATATAAAGTGTGTGTGTGTGTAATTTTTTTCCTTTGATGATGAAGATGAAAAGAATAATTTCTTCTTTTGAGTAATGCTGAAATAAATAGAACATTTATTTGACTGAGAAATCTTTTGTAACAGTATAAGACTTTACTGTAACTTTTAATCAATTCAATGCGTTCTTCCTGAATAAAATTATTATTTTCTAAAAAAAAACCTTCAAATGGCACTAAAAACAAGCCAAAACACAAATCAAAGTGTTTTTCCCCCTCCCCAAATAGTTTTAAAGAAAAAATCAGAACCCATGACTAACTGAGAACCACTGGTTTGCATATTGATTGTTTTCAGTACTGTACGAAATGCTTTGCATTTTCTAAATACCAAGACAAACGTTCAAACTCTTAAAATAGCTGTTCTGACCCAGGAGTGAGTGTCTGAGAACTGCTATGGAGTCAGTTTTACAGTGTCAGGCCTCACCATGCTGTCACATACTACAGTCATCGCTGGCCCACACACGTCTGTTTAACCATCTGTTCCCGGTAATCAAGAGCATTTATTTTCCAAAAGGAGTTATCAAGGCCAAAGGAATATGTGAACCAAAACAACAAAAAGTCAAAGAATGAAACGCTGAAGCATTAGGTTACATTGCCATGAAGCAAGTATAACATGGGTTTTTGATGTACATGTGTGCATGTTCTCTATCATATGAGAACTATTACAGAACAAAACCCTTTGTTTTAATTACTATTTATTTATATTACTGAGGCCAAATTACTCTGCTTGAAATAGTTTTTTCTTTTTTTTGGCATGCCAAATATTTACACTCCAGGGTAATCCTGGGTAAAGGGGTCAAGTCAAGTCAAATTTATTTGTATAGCATTTTTACAGAAAAGCATGGTGTTAATGTTTATAATATCATCATGCCTTAATATCTTCATTTATAATATCTTAATGCCATTTAGCAGATTAGAACTGAGCAATAATATGGTTTACATTTTGCCACGATAAAAGCGATCAATGTGAATTATATATATATATATATATATATATATATATATATATATATATATAAAATGTATGGAGTTACAGTTGGACATAATTATATATCCAACTTTATATAAAGAGCTGGGTGATAATATAGTTACATTTTGTGAAAAAAAATCAGGCAGTTAGATTAGCTAAAGCACTGTTGCTGTATGTTAGCGTACTGCAAGTATGCGCATAAAGTTGGATATTATATATATCCTTTTTGTATATAGAGCTGTGCGATAATATAGTTTACATTTTGCAATGACATAAACAATCATGCAGATGAGCTATAGAGCTACAATAGATCATATCTTAAAAAAAAAAAAAACGAGTGAGGGCCAGTTTAGATCACTCCATATTTTTAAGGTTTTCAACAAAGCTGGAATGAATTAGCTGCTGTTTTGCTGAACAAATATTCATCCAGATGAGGAAGACCATAAAACACAGCCCTCATGCTGGCAGGAGAATGGACAGGAAATGACATGCAAGGGCAAAGGTTGATAAAATAACACGAAGAAAAACAATTGTAGCCCATTAGTCAAACATGGGAATCTGAAGTAACAGTAACATTAAATGCCAAATAACAGGAAAAGGAGGGAAGTACTTCAGATTGATGGATTGAAACTGAGACTGTGCTAATCATATCTAAAAACTAACTAAAAAATAAAAAGACTGAGCTAAAAAAAAATGTTTCGCATTGAAAGACATAAATGAAGGATGGCGTATATTTCTGTGACCCGGGTACTGAACAATACCACTATTCATCATGTGTTGAAATTATCTGCATCTGCGCTGAATTAAATTAGAATCTGAAAATATTAAGACCTGTTTATTTTATACCTTTATACTTTATTTTATATATTTTATATATTTTATTTTTCATTATCAAAATTATCTAGCTTTTTAAATTATATTACTTTTCATTTCTACTTTATATATTATCAATTTAATATAAATGAAATCGATCTAAAACTGGATTAGGGTTTTGGATTTCATTTTTTAAAAATATTTGAATCACTAAAGTCACAGTTGGCCAAGACAAAGTCTGCACTTAAATCCTATCGAACAAATTTGGGATTTAGTGGGGGATGGATAGATCTTTGGGAACAACTAGAAACTATTTGTAAGTCGATGCCAACAGAGACTGTGGAAACACATTGTACAGTATATTAAAACAATGCCACCAAGAATGCAAGCTGTTATCAAGGCAAAAGGAAGCCATATAAAATATTACGTTTTTGGCCATTATGTGTGAAAAGACTTTAGTTATTTCAGTTTGTTATTTGCTTAATAAATGCCAATAAGTTTTTGACAGATTCCTAAAATATTTGTGTTTTCTCTTTATTATGACAAATGGTCAAATAAATTTGTTAAGCACTGTATACACTGTAAAAAATATTGTTGGTTTAACTTAAAAAAGTAAGTAACCTGGTTGCCTTTTATTATTTTTATTATTGCCTTTTTATTATTGCCTTTTATTTATTTTATTTTAAGTTGACTGAACTGGGTTAATACAATGAAGGAGATTCATTTAATGATCAGAAACTCAAAATAATAAGTTGTCTCAACTAAATAAATTATTTAAGTTGATTTGACAAAAGAAAATATGTTGTGGTAACAAATCTTATGATTTGCTGAAATGGCCCAGTGTCTTGATATCTGATTTCTTTGATATTTTCTGCACAAACATTCCCAGAAACCACTGTGCATGATACTCAGACTTCTTCTGCAAAGTGGACCAGACCTTGTGCTGATAGTTGAAAGTTTGCCATTCAGGGAGCCTATATTAGTCATAATTATATAAGTTATGAATAATAATCTTCACAATTTCAATACCTTGAAAAGAGACTTGCCCTCCACGCCATTGGGCTCCTTGGCATTACCGCTCTGGCCCTGCGAGTCTCGCCGCTGGGAGATGGAGAGCTTCTTCTTCCGGGGCCGGCCCTTCAGGTTGGGAGCTGTGGACAGCAGAAGACCAGTTAGAGCCGTCACTGACAGCCATATGCACCCACAGCCCATAAAGACCCCTGACATCTGCTCACTGCACTATAGCACAAATAGGGAAACATGACAATGGATAAGCCATGTGTGGTGGACACAATTAAACTACAGCCAACATTGTTCCACCAATTGGTAGCTTGACAAGAGATCCCTGGAGCCATTCCAGTGACTTACATTGCTTTAAATGATATTTCATCCTTCTTCATTCTGGATATTTTTTTACATTGTATGACACTCAGAACTTAATTATCCTGAGACAAAGTCAAAATGCTCTCCATCACTGTTACAGGCATGCTTGGTCATCAGTTCCAAATCGTTTTCATTATTATATCGGCCTCCAAGCAGGAATGTTAATACACATGGCAATGGTAAAGCAATTCACGGAATGACAGGATGTGTCAACAAGCGGAAAACTCAAACAAAGCCTGAAGGGCAAATGAATAAAATCCTAATACGTCGTCATCACAGCTCAAAATAACAGCGAAAATTGAGGTGGGTGCAACTGGTTCAGCCTTACAGGAGAATTAATATTTGAACAAAAACAAAAATAACTCGCTCATGTTGTTTCACATATTCCTAAATAATTCAACCTTCTGTTTGACATGGCATAACTTACCCCTATGGGGCATGTGCCACTTCACTTCCCTTGATCTCCCGGAACAGGGGGCAATGCCAAATGGCGTTTTTGCACCCTTGAAGGGCACTTCTGGAAGGGGACGCCATTTCGAAAGTGAACAACTGAATCCCTTCACAAACGGTCCTTCCACAAGTTCGTTAGTGAAGGGAACATGCGATGGTCACTGCAAGGAAGTATTTTATTTGTTTATGGTCATGTGACCAGATGGCGAATTCTCACGATTCATTTCATGATGTGCCCTTCTCCCTACTTCAGGAGCTTTACCCTTAGGGCATAGGGATGCTCACTTCCGATTAAAGCTACACTGTGTAACTCTTTTAGTTTATTCTTAGCTAAAAACACTTAGTTCTTTCAAAAATATGTGCTCATTAATGTATATTTACTTCGTTCAAGTAATAAAGTATTCTCGTGAGTGTATAATATACCATTGAAAATACATACGGGTAAGGGGTTCCAATGTCGGTCGCCATGTTGCCCCTCCATCTTAAAAGTACATTAGCCAAAGAGGGACATACCCGTTAATTTAAGCTTCGCCTTTCGCGTTTACATTTGAGTTAACCCTCATGGACGAGGTCGAACTGGAAGCCATGTTAATCTTGGACTGCATTGGCCACCTTAGGAGTTAGGCCGTGTGTCCACCGAAGCGTTTTTAGCCAGCTGAAAACGCTAGACGCTCTGCTGAAGACGCCGTGCTTTGGGCGCTTGAGAGCGTTTTGACAGTGCAGCGTTTTTTTCTATTGAGACGTTTCGTTGCTATGATACAGAATATCCGCAGCACAGTTTGAATGTTGTGACAGTTGGTCAGCGTGGTTTAGTCCCGCCCCTCCTCCATTGTGATTGGACGGCTGGGTAAAATGTGACCGTGATGAGTGCTGCGTTTTTTCCAAAGTTGAACATTTTTCAACTCTCGGCGACCAGTAAAAAACGCCAGGCGCTCGGCGCTTCAGCGTAAAAAAAAAAAAACGCTCAACGCCTCGTCACGCTCATGGCGTTTAAAAAACGCGGCGCTCCCACTGAAAACAATTGCCAGGAGCGTGGAAAAACGCTTTGGTGGACACACGGCCTTAAAACGAAATCGGAATTGAGAGGAACAGAAACTAATATTCACTGGATGGTCATATACCTTTTCACCGCTAGATGGGGGTAAAAAATCACACAGTGTAGCTTTAAGGCATAACCAACTCTGTTTACGTGAACACCCACCAAAAAGGTCATCATTTTGTGCGCGTTTGACCATTTAAGAGCATCCGAAACACACAGACGAAACACATTACGTTTCTTTCGCAACTTCACTCAAAAATAAACGTTCCAAAATGGGATTTTCAGAGAACCACCATTTTTGGTTCCCCAAAGAACCTTTCAGTGAATAGTTCTTCAAAGGACCATTTTCTGAGTGTGAAGAACATTTTACACTCTAAAAAATGCTGGGTTGTTTTAACCCAATTTTGGGTCAAATATGGACAAACCTGAAATGTTGGGTTAAAAATGTAATGTAAAAATTTAACCCAACGGCTGGGTTAGTCCATATTTGACCCAAAGTTGGGTTAAAACAACCCAGCATTTTTTGTGTAATAACGAAAACAACCCTTTTTCCACTATAAAGAACCTTTTGTGCAATGGAAAGGTTCCATGGATGTGAAAGTTTCATTCTATTCATTCTTCAATAAATACCCTTTATTTTAAAAAAATGTATTGAGCTTGAATGATTTACATCACTTGAATGTTTAAACTGGCAAGACTGCTTGCAAAAACAGTCACATTTGATATGCATAACCATGTGTAACTCTACCGGGTTGACAAATTTCTACCTGCTGATCAAGTCATCTGTTGTATCGCCCACCCCTAGTGATGACCGAGTGAACAGTCTTTCGGGCCAGAGAAAAATCAAATGTTTCACGTTTCCAAAAGTTTCTAAAAGCCCATTGTGCACCTGATGAATGAATGCCATCGAAGCATCTCCAGCATCCAGCTGCAAAATGACAACCACAAGCAAGAGTTCAAACTCCGAGCAACGAGAGGTAGGAGGAGCTTCTGACACCAGGACAGGTGCTCTCGAGCGCAGGTTCAGTGCGGTCAGCTGGCACCGCATTCCATGTGCGCTGATGATGATTAAATCATTGTCAAGGTTACACAATGCTACACTTGATCTTCCAACAAAGCAAAGACTGGCAACATGATCTGTTCTGGGAAAAGAAAAGAAAGCATTACCTAATCAGCTGGAGAAGAGCTTATTTTATTTTTGGGTTCATTCTCAACACGCCGCCTTTTTTCATCAAATTTGGCACATGCAGCATTGGGGTCAGAGAAACGGCACATCAAATGAGTCCATTTGTTCATAAATAAACATTTATGTAAGAAGCCTTCTTGTCACCTTGGCAACAGGCAGGTTGTTTACTTGGCTGCAGTGGCCATGACAAACACATTTGCGCAGGCATCCGTGGGCTCGGCAAAGGAACGGCTTACGTTTATTGAGGAAATGAGGCCGCTTCTCTCTTAAATGTCACTTTTCCTTTGTTCCTCAGACTAATTCACTCTGCATTCGTATTTGCCAATTCTTTTCCCTTTAGCTTCCACCCCATATCACAATCATTTAAATTCTAGCCATGTGAGTAATGTATTACTCATGATTGCTGGAGTACATTAGCTCCTTTACTTCATGCTTGCTATCCCGCGTTGAGCTCTCCAATATGAGCACTCCATTCCCATTTTTTTTTAGACTTCCATAATATAAATAATTTATTGGTTTATTTAATGTTTGATATAAACACTACAATTCAATAATGTGGGGTTCAATTTCAATTTCAATTTCAAAACACTTTATTTGTCCCCAAGGAGCAATTTGTGAGGCCACATATAGTAACGAAAACATCGGGTTGGGCATCGTTTTGATTTGAACGATTCTGATTCCGAATCTTGCTTTCGATTTCGGTTCTTTTCGAATTTCCATTCCGATTCTTTGAGGGGTGGAGTCAAAACATGTCACAGGGCCACAGGCTCATTTCACAGAGGAACATTTTATTTTGATTCAATGAGTTTTAGTTTTGTATTTAAATATTTAACGCAATTACGCAGTATCCGTTGAGTCCTGCCTGCCTGAAAAGACGCGCGTCAGTATCAATTTTACTTTCGGCATTGAACAAACCATAACACACAAATTATGCCAAAATATCTGTTTTGAGTGTACAGCTTATGAACGCTCGACGGCTGTCTGAATTCACTCACTCGTCGTTTTCATTCACTCATATACTTAGTGAACAGTAGCCTAACGTACAGGCCTAATTTAGTGAATGAGGGTTTAGAGGGCGATTTCGAATTCAACCAGCGAAAATAGAGGACACTGACAACGAGCTGACAGACAGGACCGAGCAGGTAATATTTAATATGAAACAAAGTCTCAAATTAAAATTTGGTCAGTTAAAGAAAATTAAACAATAGGCCTACCGTTGTGTGGCTCTTTGATTTGTCGTGAAAGATTGCCTCAGTTTAAGCCATGTTCAAATTCACGACGTTAATCTACTAACTCTCATGACTGCTTTGTTGGACACAAGTGGTGGATTTAGATTGGTCAGCATGTCAATCAAACTACCTGTTAAGTATGAATTTACGCTAATTTAAAAGTGAAGTGCACACTGCCACACCAGCTTTTTATAAGCGATGTAAAAAAAGAAAAATGTTTAGTTTTCAAATTAGCGCCAATTCAGGGCAGAGTAACAACAGTGGTGAACTAGCGTGTTTGGAACTGATGATCGAAATCCAAAACAAATTTGCTAAAAGATTCCAATGGCGTCGTTATTTTTTTAAACGGTTCCAAGTTCCCTAGGGGTCAGTAAGATTTTTTTTTATGGTTTTGAAAGAAGTCTATTATGCTTACCAAGGTTGCATTTATGTGATCAAAAATAAGCAAAAACAGTAATGTTGTCAAATATTATACCTTATACTACAGGGCTGTTGAATGCTTGATTCTGATTGATTGAGAACGTTCTAAGGTGTGCAATTATTTTCAGGGAAACGCAAGGCTAAAGTAGTTTCAGGCAGGTTTGTCCGCATTACAGTTCCATATCACTGCGCGTAGTTCACTGTAATAACGGAAAATAGGATACAATTCATAACAAGAAAAAACATGCAGCCCCATGCGCGTGATCTGAAATTTTCGATGTCTAACTTCAAAATCAATGGACACACACAGTTTAATTTTAATAAATAAAGTATGTAGTCCAATCTATAATAGGCTAAATAGAAAACAATACAATAAACTGTAGTATAAGCGGAATAATTGAATTCAGGCCGTTGAATTATTAGAAAAATAATGCACACCTGAGGTGGTAATGCGGTCACGACGCAAAGCGGGGTATAATTCAACGGCCTGTTGTCCAATATTCCTTACATATTTTATATAACCATTTTATATTTTAATATGTTTTAAAATTGAATTTATTTCTGTGATGACAAAGCTGAAATTTCATCACATGATCCTTGCGAAATCAATATAATGCTGATTTCATGCTCAGGATTATGCTGTCTTCCATGATAATATTTTGATTTGATAATCAAGTGAACTTCAATAAACATATTAAAATAATAATAATAAAAAAAAAACATGCCATGACCGCTTTTAAATCCATTCCACAGAACTCCATGGATTTCCCTCTCAAATTCCTGATTCCCGAGCCTGCTGATAAGACAAAACAACTGTGGTTGGTCTCGCTCTCTCTCTCTCTCTCTCTCTCTCTCTCTCTCTCTCTCTCTCTCTCTCTCTCTCTCTCTCTCTCTCTCTCTCTCTCTCTCTCTCTCTCTCTCTCTCTCTCTCTCTCTCGCTCTCTCTCGCTCTCTCTCTCTTTTGCTCTCTCCCTTATTCTAGCACAGCACACAATATGGGGACAATATTGGCAGATATATCAGCCTGGTCTAAGAATCTGCCAATATTTGGCCAGTGTGCAATAACTGACTGTTAAGTGTTCCTAAATAGCCAGAAGAAGAATGTTAGAATTTGTAGTTAGAATACAACAGCTTTGTCATATACATTTCCATGTGACCGTACACCATTTACATTAAATAAGCCAAAGTGTAATATTATCCAAATGCTTTTAAATCCACCCATAATGCATAAATTGTGTCACTGTCCTGTAAAGCAAAGCTCCAATTATCCAAAGGAGCAGCAGACCTTTTCTTAATATGTCTTCTTTTCTTGTTTCCCCCAACTGACGGCTCCCGTTGTCACAAACATCAAAAGCTCATTACAGCAACTCAGTTGCTTTTGTTTCCAGTAATCTCTGCACTTTCCCTGTGTGGATTTTAACAGGTCATTTACTCTGGTGCTGTGGCCTGAAGGGTGGCCAGAGCTTTGAAGCTGGGCTGGGCTTCTCTACCTTCTTCCAAAGTCATTACAGAGCACTATGGGGTCTCTCGCAGATCAAATATCTGCTTGTGCATTCCTGTGGTCATGCTTTTTCCTTTGAGCAAATACGTTTGAAGCATATCTACGGATTCTCCAGAGTTTTGACCTGAAACATTTGCGGTGGATGGAAGTTTCAGAGGAAGCCAAATTAAATGAACTGAATCTGAGTCTCAGTCTCAATCAAAGTCACACAGACACACACAGAGAGAGAGAGAAAGAACAGTGTGGGAAAATATTCACCCTCACATTCCATGGCTCAAATCATTGTACAGTACATTTATAACTACCATAAATTAAAAAAAAGAATCACCTCTTAACATTATAATATAAAAATATATTATTGCATTACTTGCTATTACTTCCCAAGCATTATATTGAATGGAAAAAAAATGTGCAAACTCTGTTTTATTGGTTAATATTACGGTCGTGGTTCCATATATAATGAATAAACGAATTACATTTATTCATCGTGAATAAGCAAATTAAGTTTTGATTCAGAACATTCATATTTAAATATTTTCTAAGAAAAAAAAAATCTTTGGATCATGTAAAGAAAGTGAATAAGGTCATTTTTGAAATGACTTGTGTTCATCAGGGTTATTAGTTGAACTTAAACTAAAACCATAAAAAATTACTTAAAAATAATGCAAAAATATACTATACATTTCATTTTATTTCTCATTAACTTGATGTGTTAAAATTTCTAAAATTGAAATAAAATTAATAAAAAACTATTTAAACATATATAAAATAAACATTAATTAAAATGACAAAACACAACAAAATGAATAAACTTTAACTAACAATAATAGCTGGAAATGGGGGAAAAACAAAAACAAAATATGAATAAAAACTATAATATTATCTCAATGGTCCTAAAAGAACACTGGTGTTCACTGTCTTAGACGTATCTGAGTGATGTTTCACTCAGCTGAACGGTCACACTCATCAAATGACCTGTGTTTTCTGGCACACGTCAAGCATAGTATAGACCGATATTAAAGATTTAAAGATTACGCTCGCATCTGCATTCAGGTGATGGCATTTTTAGTGCTGTCGAAATAAAAGTCCTGTTGCTGTCAAAATAAATGCTGCTTTTGACATTTTTCGACCAATGAAAAAAACATATAGGCCAATAATAGGCAGATAATCTAAAAATGCCAAAAATCAGTCAAAACAAATCAATTAAAAGCTACTAATTAATTCGGTAATTATCCAATATATAGGCCGATAACTCTAAAATATTGGCCAATACTGGATACCGATATATTGCGAATCTCAATAGCAGTTTTTGGCCCAATCATTTGAGTCTTAAATGCCATGTGACATGGCAGATGTGTTATTTTGGAAACCTGTTTGATACAATTATTTGTAGCCTATTTTTAATCTTGGACACCTGAGCTTTAAACTTTTCTCAAAAACAAAATGAATGACTTGTGATCATTTTGTCGCAGTAAACCGAGTGAAGCGTGAAGACCTTTTTATTCCCTCTCTCGAGGCCTGATAGAGTTCCTCAGCTCGGTGTGATTTAATACAGTGCTATACGGCAGATGGCACTGTGAGGTGCAGAATGAGCAAAACATACACGATGAATAAATGATATCGCCCTCATTAAATAATGCTGCGCGCTCCCAAATCCCCCACCGAAGCAGCAACACTTCCATCTTTTAATCGCTGATAGTGTTGAGCACAAGTCTCTGAATCAGCAGCAGCAGTGCGACTTCTGCGAGGCAAACAGATTGGACCAAACAATGAGTCAATGTCACTGCGCGTCCCCTCATGGGGGGGGGGGGATGCGGCGTGAGCGCGTACATGACGCACACACACCAAGGTCAGATGCTAATTCAAGAGAGAGCAAGTGGTACAGTCACAGCACATCACTGAAAGCTGCGCATATGCCGGAGGACTCTGCATACGGCGTGTTTGTTATTTATTTATCTGGCCGTTTGTGCTGGAGTGTGTGGTGTTATGTCATGTGCGGTTGTGGGAGAATGCTGCATCAGCTTGATCCCTCAACACACACTCCAGATCCAAATCCCTCTCATGTGTTATTCATCTCACAATCCTCCCAACTTCACAATGAACTTTCGAAGAGCGAAAGTCTATATGATATTCAATGACACTCCCTATGGCTCGGGACCCTTCTTTAATCATTTTATTATTATTCTAGCAGTTGACAATCTAATCCAACTTTGATGTTCTTTGACTTTTACTTTCATGTTCATACAACAAATGGTGTCAGATAACTTAGACATTCCAGCTATGTTAATGTTAATTATGAGTTAATGCATTAGTTAACATATACTATTAGCAGTGTCCTCCTTACACGTTACATGTAGTTCCTATAGTAATAATTGTAAATTATGCATAATTACATGTGACTAACGCTTAACCATGTTACACGTTGCTATATTTACGTAAAATAGAGTGCCGAAGTGATGACGTCACTTTGTAGGACAACTCGGAAGCTAGCGGCGCATGGGTTCCCTCGGTCGAAAAGCTATGCATTTTCCCCATAGACTTTTGGAAAATCGCAAAAAATAAGATCTGTGTTTAACAAAGGGTTGTGACCCTTACATGTTTTGTCTAGCAAGATAATCTTTACAAGTTAATCCAAAATGTATAAATTTTGAAGCCTATAAAGATTTTAAAAAACACAATCAGACACTATAAAGTTTTAAAAAAAACCACAAGCAGGTTATAACTGTGTTCTTTGTCAGAGATCAAAACGTGAAAATATTAAGAGGCCGTGTTCACCACAGACCTTATTTCAGGCGATTTAGCAAAAACCCATTGAAAAATCCCATAGGCTTTAGAGCGAGGGAACCGTAGTAGTGCTAAAATGCTAACTCACTTCCGCGTTTTGGCCTACAGAGTGACGTCGTAACTTCGGCACTCTATAGTACACACTGTAAAAAATATTGTTGTTTAACTTAAAATTTTTTTTTTTTAAATTGTTAATACAATGAAGGAGATTAATTTAATGACCAGAAACTCAAAAATTTCTGTTATCTGAACTACATAAATTATCTAAGTTGATTTGACAAAAGAAAAAATGTTGTGATAACAAATCATGAAAATATATTTTTTACAGTGTATTGCCCCATAATGATGAAAAAACCTTTAATATCACCCACTAATCAATTGGTATTGATATGTTGTGACTATTTAATAGAGTTATAATAGTAGTAGCACATAGTAATGAAGCTTGCCTTAGACAACCCCAACAACAAGATAGCGATGTAACCACAATGATAAAATAAAGACGACTTATCTAATATAACTTGATCTAGCCCTTTTGCTCTGCTTCTGTACAGTAAGTTCTTAGCAGCAATAATCAGCTCTTCTACTTTTATTCTGCTCTCAATATGCTAATATGCTGCCTCATCTTCTTTTATGAACATCTGACTAACAGCCATTTGATCTCTGCCTAAAAATAATCCAACGTTATTTTGCTTCCCTCTTTCTCTCTCTTTCATTTTGTCTACACATTCCTGTCAATCCTTTCTGTTAGCTTGACTCTTTTTATAGGAAAAATCATAATGTGGTATAATTAAATGATAGAAACTCTTTTGAGAGGAGATTGTGTCATTAATACGATTAGATGTAAGAATATCACCAGCACTGGAGATTTGTGATGAATTATTTATATACATCGTGCAGGAGTCATCTCATTGACAGCCAGTTGCCCTCTAGTGTTACTGTGAGGTATTACTCACACCAGGACAATAGTGACCTCTCTCACACACCAAACCTACCCATCACAGAAAACCTTCAGCATTTTAATAGGTTCAAAACATAATTCTGTATGATTTATAAGCTGTATTCTTCATGGGAATCAAAAAAAAAAGGCCCCACAAGAACAAGGGGCATCTTTTGTCCCCATTACTGGTTGAACATAATGAACCACAAACACATGCAGCAATATAAACAGTCAATACACCCAATCCAGCAGAATCACTTAACCTCTTCCTGTCATGACATCATATTAGATAATGTAATATCTTAATGGATATACCCCCGATATGTTTACCTAAAGGACAAGAGTAAAATGGCATTACTACAGATATTATAAATCAAAAACTGAAAAGAGACACACTGAGGTGTGTGATACAACTGACTGAATGCTAAGCTCATATCCTATTGTTCCAATTTCTTTTTCACATGATTTTCACGACAATAAAGTGAAAACACCCTCCCCCAATTCTCATGAATGAAATACAGTGATTGCTATAATCCTTGACACAAAAAAGTAAAAATGTAAAAAAATGTAAAAAAAAAAAATATTAGTACTTCACATATGGACTAGAAATCTAAATAATAAATAAATATTATTATTATTAATAATAATACATTGGTGAGAATATTTTACATCAATTTAAACATAAAATGTAATTTATATTAAAATATAATATAAATATAATATTTTAATATAATAATAATAATAATAATAATAATAATATACTAGTGATAATTGTTTTATTTTAAAATATCACAAGCAAATAATATTTTTTTACATTATTAAATTATTACAAATGGTCAAATACAATTTTGTATACATTTAGATTTACAATTAGTAAATTAAATAAGTATTGTAAATAGCATAAATAATATTATATTATATTATTAATACCATGGTGAGAATTTTTTTAATTAAATATTATAAAATGTCACAAGCAAAAAATAAAATAATAATAATAATACCGTAGTGAGCATATTTTTACATTGATCTCAATATTCTATAATATTCTGAATGGTCATAAGTTGGTCATGGTCAAAATATATTGTTCATAAATTAATCTAAATTGAAACTTTTCGTTTTCATTAAAAAATATCAGCACTCAAAAGGCCTCAGTTCACCACTAGACCTGCTGCCGTGTGACCACTTTAACCGCAATTTACTTTACTTCAACTTTACTTCATCATTGTCCTACTTTAGCATGAAAGCCTTTGTAACACCCTTCTGAAAATAAATCAGATGGTGAAG